AATTACGGAGCCCAACGCGCCGCACACGGGGCCCGCCCCGCCCCGCCCGGCCATACACAGAAATGTTTAATTCAGCGTAAAGTGCGCGTAATTCTTGCACCCGAGTGGCGCGCGTCACGCCTTACATTAGCAGGCGGCAAAAACTGGGGCTCCGACGGCTCGACGCCCGGCTGGGGTTAGGCTCGGGTCGGCCCGGCTCGGCTCGGGTCGACTCGGCTTGACTCGGCTCGAAGCGCCAGAGCCTGCCTGCTTGACAAAGTGGAACAATCCGATCCCGGGGTCGTGCGGCGCTGGGGATAAGAGTGGCAGTGGGGCTGAAAAAATAGAGAGGTAAATAGAGAGAAGAACAGAGACAGTGAGAGAGAGAGACGAGAGAAACAAAGAGAGAAACGCTATTTTTCCGGTTTGGTGAACGAAAAAGTTTTAGGTGTGCTTGTTGCTGTAGGGGGGGACGCGTGGGGGACACGAGCCTCGTTGCGTAGGCGTAGGAAGCAAAGTTTTTGTTCAAAAATTGACCGCGCGGCAGGAGCAGTTGGGAGTAAAAGAAGGAAAGGCCACCACCACCATGTCAGTCACGGCGACGGCGGCGTGGCGAGGCCGGCGAGAAGGCTCGGTGCGGCGGGGCGGCCGTGGTGCGCCTCGCGCCCTATTCATCACCGCATTAATAATGTAATAGACATCGAGCCATGAAATAGTTATGCCGACCCGTCGCCACCGCCGGAGGGCAGAGTTTGGCGACAGGGTGGCGGAGCGTGCCCGGCAGTCTACCGGCGCGGATGGCGGAGGGGAACTTAATTGTCGCCCAGCTAACATACCGCATTTAATTGCAACAGACAATACCTGTCACATGCGTGTGATTAACACGTTCTTTGACAGCGTGACCATACTATGTGTCTTTTGTTTCAGCCTCTGACTGTGAGATGCACAGCGCAGCTGAGATGAACGAGGAACGTGCTAAAGGAGAATTTTAACACACTGAGACAAATATTTTGCCACCACGATTGAAAAATTTGATTGTTGTAATTAAAATGGTGTTCAGTTTGCCCCCTGATATAACCGAGGACTGGGAGAGGGGACTGGCTGTTTAACGGCTGTTGTGACCGCCGTTTTCTTCAAGGTTCCATATCATATTTTTTTTCCCGCGCGAAACGTCGGTTCTCTTCTCTCTACGCGATGTACATTCTGTCGAACGCACAGTGTGATGGATGTTAAGCTCTGTTGTTCTTTGCGATCGGGCCGCGGGGGGTGGCCGGGCTGGGCGCTATGTGCGGCGCTGTGCGTCCCTCCTCACGTCCCAGCGTGCCGTGTTGCAACAGGGCGGCCGGCCCGGCCAGCGGTGGGGCCGGTGGGGCTTATCGAGCGGGCCGAGCGGGCGGCCCCAAGAAATAACAGGTGTGAAAGCCCCTGGTCGCCCCCGGCGCCGACCAGCCCGGCCTGCGCCCGCCGCCGCCCCGGCGAGAGGGCACTCCAGCTCCACGCCAACAGCACAGCGCACTGGAAACTGCTTGCAGCAGAAATCCCTTTGCCTTTTCCTTCTTTGCAAGGTTACAAAAGAACGTCTTTTCAAGCTTACAAAATGATTGTATGCATGGCGTGGAAAATGTTTGCAGGCTTGCGAAGAAACAGTTCCATACTTATTCTTAGCAAGTATTGTCCAGTATGGGTTATTACTGATGGTCAAAGAAACATCCAGCAGATGGTTTAAACTGATATTTCCCTTTTTGACAAAGGAATCACACGCTTTGCGCACCCGAGTAACATGCAATTGTCGACCGACCGTACGGCCGATAAGTCGCCAACACAGTCGACCGACAGCCGACAGGCAGGACAGACAGCAGTTGATAGTCGATCGCCTATTTCGTGGCATACTAGGAAATACGAATGTCACCATTATAAACTCTGCAAAAAGTTTGTGACATTATTTTAGTTCGAGGAAATTCGCGATCTTTCGTTAACCCCGACCCCGCTCGAGTGCCGCAGCACGCGCACTATATGGGCCCTCGTGGCCCCCGTGCTTGTGATTCAGCGAGGCTGCGAGGCCCGGCTGCGGCCGGCGCCCGCGGCCCCCTCGGCAAACCACAGGCGCGGCGTCGGCGGGGAAGGGACGCC